TTTTTTTTTTTTTTGGGGGAGGGGGAATGGAAGAGAATTGGAGAGATGATTTTGGGGATTTGGATGGCCACTTGATGTCGGATTTTGATGATTTTGGTACGGGTAGACTCGTGAGTGAATGAACTTTCTAGTGTATACTAAAAATAAATTTTTATTTTTACTTGTCACTTTACGCATATCAAGAGATTGATATTTTTTTTCCAGTTATACCGACAATATTTATTACTCATTTTAACTTATTTTTTTAAATCCAATAAAATATTCATCAATTAACATAAATATCATAATAAATTATACACATTACTTATTATTTCTTAAGGGTGCGTGAAGTGTCCAAATATGCCAAATAAAAGTTAACGTATGGAGTACCAAAATATAACTACGCAAATGGAATTTGGGGTCCGCATCATCTCCTCCTTTGACCTAGTAGTTCTCTCTCCCTTTAAAATAACAAATTTGACCTGGTAAATTAAAATAGGAAAACGAAATTAATAATAGGAAAAAGAAACAGGAAAAAAAAGTGATAAAGAAAAAGAGAAAAAGCAAAAAGGAAAAAGAGACAAACTGATATCAACGAAAGCGGAAAAAAACAGGCGACTATTTTCCCAGCTTTGTGCCATTTCTTTCGTCTGTTTCGGCTCCTCACCACCTTTTTTTCAACCTTCTCGCCGGCGAAACGCCGTACGCGGCGGCTCTTTTCACCGGTCAGAGCCGGAAGCGATTACCTTCTAATGCTCGCCGATTTTCAAAGGTTTTTGTCTTCTAATTCACCGCTCCTTTCCCGGTGATGGAGACAAATAATTCTCTTCTACAACGGTATCGTGACGATCGTCGGAAGCTTCTAGAGTTTCTGTTATCATGTGGATTAATTAAAGAAATTCGAACTCCTTCGGGTCCTACTTTCTCCCTCTCTAACATCAATCTCGATGTTATCAGTGCTGATTATGTCCTTGAATGTGTACAATCTGGTAAGTATTTTTATTTTTATTTGTGTGTGTGTGTGTGTGTGTGTGTCCATTTTGGAAAGCCTTTTATAACAATAAAGCATCAATATATTATAGCCTCCTTCGCAATTATGTGATGCTATCTCCTTTTTAGTATGTCATACGTTTTGTATTTAGAACACAAAGTATCAAAAGTCTTCTTTCTTACATAAACTTTGTGTTAATCACCATCACATAATGTTTAAAATGTTATTCTTGTATTAATTCGATATTCATTTCTTAATTGAAATTTACATATTGAAGAACTGTATGAAAGGTACTAAAAATCAGAACTTTTTGTTATAGTTAAGAATATTCTAAACGTTTTGACTATAAATTGGAGTAATAGTTATAACTGTTTGACCTGTCAAATAGTATAGTGCAAAAATCACTGCTTTTTTCTATAGTTAAAATATTATAAGTCTTTGAGTTAAAGTGGTAATAACAATAACAGTTTGACTCGGCAAATGGTAGTAGTACCAAAAAGGTTGGGGCAGAGGGGTGGAGTGTCAATTTAAATTGTAATTTTTTTTGGTTTGATGTTTGTTTTGTTGTTCTTTATATGGAATGAACATGTTTTCTGTTGTTTGTTTACATTCAAAGGCTGAAGCTTCTTGTTTCACTGTCATTGCTCTGAATGATTAGGTGGGGTGGTGGATGTATCTTTAGCAGCTAAGAAGTATCACGATGATCATAGACATCCAAAAACAGTAAGGATTTATGATTTTTTTTGGTCGTCAATTGACCACCACTACAGTGGGGGTGATGAAGTTCTAATTTACTATGTCCATGGAATAAGTCAGAGGCGGATCCGGAATTTTAAGCTTATGGGTTCCTATAATAATCTCAAGTTAATCTACATGATAACTGGACCAACGAACTGGGTTCCAAGCTAAATATTCTTATACTTTTAATGAATTTTTTAGTATAAATACAGGATCTATGCAAAAGTTAATGGGTTCACGGGAACCCGTATCCTTTGCTCTAGCCCCTGGAATAAGTTATGTCATGTAGAGGGAAGTAAATCAAAGTATTTGCGATGAATAACTGTTGCTTTCTATTGTTTCAAAGCTATTAATTTTTGGGTGCCAAAAGACCCATTAGAAGGTAAAGAAGTTTATCCCTGCATTAATATTGGAGTTGTAACTACCTCCTGCTATCAGATTGTGAATGATGAGCATAAAGAATAAGATTTTGATGATATACGGCCAGTATACCTATTTATGATTCCCCAACTTCTTTATTTTCCTTTGTTTTTTCTTCCATTTAGTACACCTGTTACTATAGGCAAATTTCTTGTGATCAGATCCATAAACTGCTGTTTGACTTCTGATAGGTGAAACACGTTCAGCTTTTAAGATAGCCATTCTAAAATGAGCAAATTAATGCTTTACTTATCAAAGAAATAAGAGCAAATTAATGCAAAATATATCTTTGTTAATTCTTGATGTGAAATGTTATATTTGTCCTCGAATTTATTGAATTAAAGAATGATTAAATAACTGTTTGGGAAAGCACGTTGCATTTTTTATGTTTCTACCTTTGAAATGGCCAGAATGTTATTCTTGTAACACTCTCTATAGATGCAGTTGCACACAGGCGATGTGTATTTTCTTGTTACAGATCCAGAAGCAGCTGGATCCCACCCTCAGCGTGCACCACCTCCTATCATGAAGAATCACTCTAACAACAATGGACCATGCCATTCTGATTATGCAGATTTCTCTCTCTATGGTGATGACCATGGGGTAGACAGTAAAGCTACAGGAACTGCAGGGTCATTTCCCATTAATCTAGCTGATCTTCCATCAATAGGAATGCCTGTACTGAAAACAGGTATATGCTTATTATCATGATGCAAAAAGAAGAATAAAGCACACAACTGGTACTCCTGTAGCGTGCGGAAGAACCATTGGTCTGTATCCTATCTTTATTTATGTTCATCTTTGGAGTAAACTGATACAAAGGTTTAGGTTTCCTGAAGGACTACTGGACGATGATCTGCGTGAATCTGCCTATGAAGTATTTCTTGCTTGCATGGTGTGCTCTGGGTAAAAGTTCTTAACTATGATTTTCATCATGTGTTTGTAATTGAGCGATTTATTAATTATTATTTGAAGGCACTAGCACTAGCTATTTTTCATTCTGATGGCCATTAATTTTCTGTTACTTCTTAGCACTAGAATCTTTTTCAATCTCGTAAAACTTATACTTAACTTTTAGGCTTGAGATTAGCTTGGCCGAGGCTAAAAAGAAAGAGAAGAGTCCTAGATTTCTGGCTGGGCTGAAGAATAGAAGGGAGAAAAGACATTCACGATCCATGTCTGGGTCATTGGCTTTTGATAGAAATACGGAGCTCATCGAAACTTTCAGGACGCAAATGCAGGCAAGTTGTCATTGTCTTTGTTTTTCTTAAAATTTTAGATATAGTGCTGCTGACATCTACTTAGCAATTTGAAGCCAGGTTAAAAAAGCTTTCGTGGTGACTTTTTAAGGAAAATTTTGTCGATACACCAAAGAAAATATTCTAATATTGGATGCTTACTTATGAATGATGTATTGCATGAAACTTGGTGGCACCCCTTGGTGCTCTTGAAGAATTAATTTTTGTTTTGAAGGATGGCCTGGAAGATGCTGGTCTTGTTTGGGAAATAAGTGATCTTTTTTTCAATTTCCACCAAGACATGTTTGCTCTCTACCCACTTCCTTATTGTGTGTTGCCCACATACATGAAGAACTATAAACAAGCTGCAATATTATGCATATTTCATAGGGGAATTTTGCAGTTTGCACAAACACCGTGTGTCATTACTTTTAATTCTGACTATTCGGGGCAAGTTTTCCTAGTCCCCATAAATGTATGAGTATAAATATGACATGCTAGAGGTATGACATGCTTCATTTATAAGAGAGTTATAGATGATTCCTGAAGTCAAGTAGTTTTTTGTTTCCAGAGCTGAAGTCAAGTAGTTTTTCTTTCCAGAGCCGAGTGGTTTAACTGTGTGTATCTCGGGGCTAGATGTATTTGGTAGTATGCATTATGAGTTTGAGGTGGTAGGGTGATGTTAATGCGTTAGGTAGAGTTTTAGTTAAGAAGATCAAAGCATGACGATCACCATTGAAATCAAGTCTAGAAAATACATAAACACTAAAAAGGCTTTAATTAGTCTAAAGTAGGAATGGCAATTTTCATCCAACACACAGATATCCGTATCCGCATGGTTAGGTTTTCTTTGAAAAGAAAAATGGCTGAAGAGAGAATGCGGATTAAAATCTTGAACTTTTAAATTGACCTAGAATGGATTATTTTTTGATGAAGATAAAGAACCTAGAATGGATTATTATATTACATTTTAGCTTCAAATATAAACTAAACTTCAGAACAGCAATTGGGATATAACTAAATCCGATGGTTGATAGCTTAAACCTATCCAGTATTTGTGCAAATAGACTTATCCTCTTTTTGGAATCTCTCCTGTTAACGTCCTCCACTCAAATCTGTCCTATGAGTCTCTTCACCTCACTACACCTATTTGTGAGTTGTCTACATAGCTTTATGCGTGAAGTTTCATCAGATTGATTGACAGTATACTCTTTTTATTCTTTCTTTTTCGGGTTTTTGTTGTCACACCTTTAACTTTGCTCCACTAAATTGTTTATGACTAACATATACTCTTCACTAGATCTCAGAGGCAATGGATGCTCTTATTCGGCGAAAGTTGGTGCGCTTGGCTTCTGGGAAATCATTTGGACAGATCGATGTTGCTCAAATCGCACTGGGGCTTTTGAATGGCACAATGAAGTCTGAATTTCAGAATGAGAAGTCATATATCCAATGGAAGAACAGACAAGTAATACTAATTAATGCCTTTTGTCTCATCACAAGTTTTTTCCACTTAAAAGTTTCTTCTTAAAAGATTCAGAGTCTGTCATAACTTGATCTTCATGGAAGTCGTCTTTCTATTTTTTCTTATTACCCACATTTAGAAATGTTTTGATTTGGTGGGTCCATATAGTGGTAGTTGTCAGATTGACATTATGCTACAAATTAGAGTTCTGGTTTGTGGCAGTAATTCTTAATTGAATCTATTGTTAATCTAAAGGAGCAACTGAATGGTCAATCTGATAATGTTCGAAAATCAATAAAGCAAGGATCTGAGAAAATGAGTATATTAGCGTGATGGGTTATACCTAATTTGATTCTCCTTCAGGAGGGTACAAAGGTTAAAGGTACATATTAGTATGCGGCTGATCTCTTGACGTGGCTGGTCTTTGCAATTTTGGAATCACAAGTTTTTTTGTAATAATCTGAGGTGAAACCTGTTTCGTGGTTGAATATGCCGAAACCAACAGGCACATTTTGTTTGAGCAAAACTCAAAAGTAAAGAAGAAATTACTGAGTGACATCAAATTATCAAGCTGAAAAACAGTGGGTTGGGGATGCATCTTTTGTACTGGAACATAAAATCTGAAGTTCGAGTATATCTAGGATTCATAAATCTCATTATTGAGATGTTTTTATTTATAAACCAGCTGGATTTCCAATTAATGTAAATATTATCACACCCCTCTGTTCTTAGTTATTCTAACTTTTAGATGATCTTCTTATAGGCTAATATCCTTGAAGAACTTTTATCTGCTGAGCAATCAGTTGGAACTCTTCTTGCAAAGATTAGGAACTTTGAGGTATGTCGGCCTGCATTTCATTTTTCTATTGCTTATCAAATCTGTTCTTCAGTTTTAGATTGAGAAGATACTTCATTCTGCTGTAGGAATGGGACATTAAGATGTCTCCCTCTGAATGCAGAGACGTGCTATTTTCCATTAGAAATGTTGCTTTGACGTTGTCATCTATGCCTGGGAATCTGGGTATACAAGGCGAGACATATTACTGGAGTGCTGGTTATCCCTTTCACATAAGGCTGTATCAGAAGCTACTCCTTGGTGTATTTGACATTCTGGAAGATGGCCGGCTCATAGAGGTCTCAATTGTGTCTTTGATTTTATGCTGGTTTTTCTGAGTGTAGTTACTTAATGCTTCTCGTCATCAGGAAGCTGATGAAATCCTAAAGCTCATCAAATCAACATGGCCTTTGTTGGGCATTACCCAGAAGTTACATGATGTGTTATATGGATGGGTGCTTTTTCAGCAGGTAACTGAGCTTTGCTATGTTATTGAAGCAGTCTTCTGCCATCTCCTCCATCTCTCTCTCCTTGTTACTGATGCATTTTTAGGTACAGAATACATGAACATATGCCATACCTAGGAAATGAAGTTGCATTATTGGCTGGATAACTCATGTGTCAAGACATACTGATCTTCAATCACGACATATTTTAGCCCTAGAATCTTCAATTGCATCCTCTGTTTGCACAAAATATGAGACCTTGAGTGGCATCCATGTTACCACTCAGTTGAACATCTGCTTGTTATGTTAAAAAAGTTTGTTTCAGAAGGCTGGAGAGATTTATATGCTATACTGAATGTCAAGTAAGCTGGCTACCTGTGTGTTTAATCTCCCTTTAATAACTTCTTGTTTCAAAATGTGCTCCCTGTTCGTGACACAGTAGGATCCATACTCTCAAATTATTACATGTGTAACCTTCTTTTATGGTTGTACCTGGCTGCTTTGGTGCCCCACCTCCCACATGATTGTTCTTTAACAATCTGACCGGGTTTTGATTAAAAGTTAATGATCCATATCATGATATTGTCTCTTTTAATTCCTTTTCTGTTTTTTCTTTCAAGTTATAACTTGCCATCTACCATTCTGACTTGCATTTGTAAGTGGTTGTTAAGCTATACATCTAATTGATGCCTAAAAGAAGTTGGAGGCTTCAACACATAACCCTATCATGATATGCCAAAGAAATTTCGCGAGATTTTTCTGATGGGTGTACTTATACTGGCTTGATTGCACTGTCCTCTGCCTGATTTTATAAAATAACCTATTTATTTAAAAACAGAACTTTTTACCGGATGACAAATCAACCAGTTGGCATTGTTGAATATTAAGAGAATTTGTGTCTAGGTACACACATTCTAGATTCATCTAACTAAACAACAACAACAACAACAACGACCCAGTATAATCCCACAAGTGGGGTCTGAGGAGGGTAATATGTACGCAGACCTTACCCCTACCCCGAAGGGTAGAGAGGCTGTTTCCAGGAGACCCTCGGCTCAAAAAAAGCAATAGGAGCCGATATATTAGTACCATAAAAATGCATAATACAATAACAACAATATAAGAGATATGAAATACAGAATACGAAATACGAAATAAATGGCTGGTATAGTAAAACTAGCAGGTAAAGCCCTGCATCAATAGACGAGATTCATCTAACTAAAGAATAACTTATTCACTTATTAGGATAGAGAATGATTTCCTACCATAGCCTATGACTTTTATCTGAGGAGTCTCTCATGTAAATTGCTAATCAACCAAGTAAATAAGAAATTCTCTTTTATTTCACATGGTATCATAGCCTTTACCATTTTAGTTAGAAATTTAAGCAGCTTACGCCTAGAGGTGCGGAGTTATGCTACTTACTCCTCTCTTTAATGATCATTGCTCCTCCTCTCGGGTATTTGAGCCTTTCTCTCCTTGCGGTCGATGCTGCTCCTCTCTACAGTGATCATCGCCTTCCTCTAAATTTTGAATTTCTTGTCATTGTTCTGCCACTTTAAGCTACAGTAGTGTGTCCTGGAGATTTGCAACACCAAATCTGTTTTTGGTGATTGAGAGTAGGTTCTTTTCTGGCTGTAGTACAAGAAACACTTTCTCCGCCGTGTATTATTCCAAACAAAATTCCGCCGGAAGCTTTTTATGTTTTTAATAAGAAAACTCAAGTTGGTTTGCGCGCTGAGGTTAAGGGGACGTGTTGTGTATTGAGAGGATGTGTGTCCAGATACAGACATTCTAGAATTCATTGAGCATGAGCAAAAATATTACTCTTGAATATTTTATAAGATATCTTAGTATATTCTCTATTTAGATATAGAAGAGTTGTAAAGCTTTGTTTTTAGCCTTTCCATTCAAGTCATGAATCACTGGATTTGGAAAACTCTGGCCAGAGAAAATAATATAGGGCTGAGAGAAGCTCTTCTGTCAAGCCTCTACTTTGACTTTGATGAACTGGTCAGACCGTCGGAGCATTAAAACTTGGATTAGTCCACAGTAATGAGAGAGAACACCTAGCGGAGAAAAACTTTTTTTTTGGGATATGTCACCTAGCCAAAAAAGAAAAAAATTGCTGGAGCTGAGCATGTATTAAAGCTGCAAATCAACCAAGTCAATAAGAGAGCCTACTTTGGCTATAGCATGCATACTTCTTCACTGAAGATTGTGTTCTTGCTAATCTTTTTGCACTTTCTTAATTTTATCTTTAGGAAGAATCTGAATATTAGCCTTCTTATTTTGCATGTCTAATTCTAGTGTTGCCCCTTATGCTTGAAGTTTGTTAATGAGGAGCTTCACTCTCTGTGCTTTTGTGGATAATTTGATGCATTTAGCAATTATGGAGTGCAAGATCGTTGTAAAGTTATTGTTACTATTTGTAGACTTTGATAAGGTTTCTGATGCAGTTTCTTCCTGATTGAAGTTTGTTGGGACAGAGGAGGCAATGCTTTTGGACTATGCAGTTCGTAAAGTGCGGAATATTCTGTCACCTGAAGATGTTGGAAAGAAGGAAACGAAGTATTTGGAGAGCCTAGTTTGTTGTACTCGCCGAAATGGGTCTGAGATTAGGCTAAATTTGGTGCAATCTATCCTTTGGTCAATTAGTTTATGGTGTGACAACAAATTGCTTGATTATCATTGGCATTTTCGTCAGGTTCTTTTCTATGCTTGCATATTCTTTTTCTAATGTGTTGTATGGCTTGTTAATGGTGGTGTAACATGCAAAATTCTGTGTCTGATGAGAATTTCCTCCATTTTTCAGAAGCCTCGTCTTTTCAAGGGGGTGTTATCCATGGCGTTGGTGGCAGGAAATCAGAAGTTCGGTGCGTCTGGAAATATGGAGGTATTTGGGGAAAATTTATTTCTATTAAGTGCCTTTTCTGTTAGCAGAAATAAGATAACCATGGACAATATTTTACTGGGCAACTAAATGTTAATAACCTCTTGCCCTTTTTGGGAAACCTCTTGGCCTGTTGGCCTCTCTTCTGCCTATTTTCTTCCTTTAGATTTTCTGTAAGGAAGCTGCCCAATGGGCAATTGTACATACTGCATTATCTGTGAGAATGCGTCAAGCTGTAACCACAGCAAAAAAGGAAAATTAAAATTTGGAAAACCATGAAGCAAGTTATGTATCATCCACCACTTGTAGTTATCCAAGTATACAACCCAAAAAAGACTTGACTTGGCATCCATCCAAAACAAGCTACTTTAGTAGGGCTCTTGTTTTCCGTATCGACTTCCAAGGCCATATTCTTCTCCTTGATGACTGGATCATTTTGTTTTAAGAGTAATTTGTAGAAAGACTTGACTGACAATCTTTTATCCTTGCTACCTTCCCAGAATATGCTGTCCTCCTTATCTTAAATAAAAAACATTGTGCTCAGTTTTTGTGGCAAGCAGCTCACATTTCCAATCACCCAATCATTGAAATTTCTTCTAAAAAGAAGATTCCATCCTCCTTCTGAGAAGCAGCTTGCACTGTACAAGTGTTGTCAATGACCAGATTATAAAAATCTTGGAAAATAGCTCCTTAAGGCAGTGTTTTCCAGCTATTTATCCAGCCAAAGTCTAATCTTTTTTCCATTCCCAACGCTTAGGCTGGTATGTAAGTCAAATTCATCCTGGCAATTCCTAATTTGCCTCAGTATGGCTACTCCATAGGGAGCTTCAAATCCAATAATAGGTAAAACCAACCGAAACCCAGTTTGGTACCCCAGGGAGACTCCATCCCATATTTTACAGTCGCAACTTTTTCCAGAGTTCTTCCTTTCTATCATTAAACCTCCAATGCTGCTTCCATCAAATCAACTCAAGATAGTGCTTCACTCTATGGAGTTGAAAGAGTACACCCAGATTTTATAACCTTCCAGCCATACTATTAGGCTGATTATTAAGCTAAAAATTACTATGGCTTGACTTATAGCACCCGTATGTCTCCAAATAGGATGGGAAAACACTTACAAATTTAACTAAGAGTCATTGAGTGGGATCACTATGATTTTACAGTAAAGGACAGAATCACCTATCTTTCTTTTCCATAAAAACTTAAAAAGTTTGATCACCAGCTACCATCATTGAAAACCCACAAAGAGTTATACCTAAGAACATAAAAAAGATGTCTCATTGGTCCCATAGACAAAAGAATGCCATTTTCTTCATCCGTATCCTTCATCACTACCATTTATTGATGTGTTGCAGAACTCTCTGCTTTCACTGACATCCTTGACCCTTGAGTAGATAACAGTATCTTCTGATCCCGTTCAAGCATATCAATGCCATCCCTAAGAACTATAATTCAGTATTTCGATGATCAACTCTACGTGGGAGATTCCCTTTTGTGTAATAATCTTTTAAGCAGGGACAGAAAGGACTTTCTTATAGTCCTTGGGCTTGCCATCTTATCTTTGATTAGAAGTTTGGGTTGGGGAATTCTAGTTGTTGTGAAATAATTCATTTAGCTTTTATTTTCTTTGTGACTCCTTTTGATCCTCACAAGAATAAGTTGGACTTAATTCTTAGGGGCTGTTTGGTTTGGGTTTTAGATTAGCATAAGCTTAGACAATGTTTGGTTGGGATTTGAGGAGATTTATCTTCACAGAAAAATCAGCATTAATTAATACAACATTTGGTTGCTCCTTTTTGTTTTCCTCAAAGTAATACCTGCATAATTATGTGGGAATCTATGTATTATTTTATGTGGGATGGAATTTGGAAATACATGGATTAAAAATTCCAAAATGACTAAACTAACCCTCATACTAGTAAGAAATGTTTTAATTTGTTATAAAAAGTAAATAAATATTTTAAATGATGCATCATACACTAATATATGTAATAAATCAAACTAAACTATCAACAAGAAATAATCCCTGCATTATACAATCCTTGCATTACTCATGCATTGCGAATCCTTACATTATTAATCGCTGCCTTACTAATCCCCGCATTGCTAATCCCTGCATAACTTGTCTTTAAACCAAATGACCCCTTAATGTTTCCTTAGAATCGTAAAAATGTTATTCTTCACACTGTTGCAGCTGATGCTCGATGCTTCAGATGAGATCATTGCTAGCAAAGTCAGAATGTATGTTGAGACGTCTGCAGAAGCTGCTTGCAAGAGGGTATGGTATCTAATGGCTTTGCAAATACAATAGAGTACCTGACTTTTTTGTGAAAAAAGTTGACATATTAGCTTGATCTCAGGTTACTGGTGCAATAAATGCTGGATCTAAAGTAGATAAGAAACATCCTTTGGCTTTGCTTGCAAGTGAATTAAAATCAATTGCTGAGAAACAGCTAACTGTGTACCATCCGGTCCTCAGGCATTGGTGTGCTGAAGCTGGAGTAGTCTCAGCTTTGAAATTGCACAGATTTTATGGTGAAAGACTGGTCAGTTTTCAGTGATGAATAATAATCTCCAGCACCATTACTTTTTGTTCTTTTGAGTCAAAATTTCCTATCCTGCTGTGTAGGAGCCATTTCTCAAGAATATATCTTGCCTTTCCGAAGATGTGAAGCAGGTGCTTGCTGCAGCTATTCTATTGGAGAATTATCTCCTTGAGCTCCATTCATCAGAACCAGTAGAAAATGGCATGCATTCCCCATTGATGTTAGACTTTGAGCGTAAGGTAAATTTGCACTAGGAAAGCTATTATGTTTTGCTGGAACTGTGTATTGAGCATAATGAGCTTATTCCTCTTCTGGAGCTGTCCTGGATGCCACATGTTATTTAGTTGTTTCTACTCTTTCTTGAATTTTTCCATAAAAATGAATTGAAATGAAATATGCTGAATTTTACTTCCACTAGGTTCTTGAGTTTTTCCGATCACATGCAGGTGAACATTTTTCAGTCCATAAGAATGTTAGTGGAACGTAATCTATGGTGTTGCCTTCATAAAAAAGTAATATATGGTGTTGCTAAAGGCGGCATGCCCAGAAGCTAGGCATGCAGGCTATGCACTTTCCCTTGCTTAAGAGGCCAGACACCTGGCCGCTAAGACTTGTGCCTCGGTGTCTATGTGGTCTATCACTAGAAAATACTTTTGGCAAAGTGATATATTAATTTCAATGGAACTGTTATGGATGAATATCTTAATGGCTAGTCGCTAAATGTAAGTTAACAATGTTAAACTATACCTTCATATCTAAAGTAAAAAATTTTTAAAATGGGTTTTGAACTTGATTAATGCTAGTTTTACTCAATGTTTCACTTTACTGCGGTGTTTTCAATTCCTCTGACCGTAGAATTGTTGCATGTGTTTGTAGTTATTCTGCATTACATAGTTATCTTTTAATTTTTTTCATTTGTGCCTTACTTCATTAAAGCTTCTTTTATGGGGAATTTGTGCTTAAGTTGAAAAAGTTGCTTCTCTAAGCAGAACTTGACACTTCTCTTTGCGTTTGACTGTGATGGTTAATTTTCAGCTTATCTTGTGATGAGTTACAACAGAGCTTGACTTTTCTGCTATCCTACATGAAATGGTTAAATGATAAGAAGAGACTAGTTAATGTTTTGCAAACTGTGACATGTTTAAGAGCACAGATTCTGCCGATAAGCAATTATAAATCTCTAGCTGTCTTTTAATTGGATCTCATCTTGCTGTTATTCCTACTTGTTGCAATTACCTTTTCTTTTTCAGTCGTTCTCTAGCCGAGGGTCTATCGGAAACAACCTCTCTGCCCTTCCAGGGGTAGGGGTAAGGCTGCGTACATCTTACCTTCCCCAGACTCCACTTGTGGGAAACTACTGGGTTTGTTGTTGTTGTTGTACTCTTCTGAAACTATAATAAGAGGTTTTCTGTTGCTCTTGTTTTCATGGATTGCAGATTGGAGAAATCGCAAGGCCGATTATTCTTGATTGGGTGATTGCTCAGCATGCGAGGATACTTGAATGGACTGGGCGTGCTGCTGATCTCGAGGTTAGCCTTTTAAAAGATTCTAAGTTGGTTGTAACATAGTTAAAGTTAGTCTGGTTCTGAATGCTAAAAGCATATAAAAAGACATGATAATGGTGTTTGCTTCCTTAGCTGAGTGCCTTTAGTCAGAATAATCTGGTTGCCAGTTATACATAGTTTTTTTTTTAATCTTAGGTCCTATTTAGCAATTTTAGCACAAAATTCATCCCATAAGCAAATATGTATTTACGCATCCGGCTGCATTTTTGAAGAGTCTGAGCAACATTGGATTAAACTACACATAGGTGTTTTCTTTCATCCGAACTTCCATTTAGTCATTGTGCTCGTATATTTCCACTTAAGCAAATATCTTGCTGCTATCTTCTGGTTGAAAATAGCAGTTAAGATGTTGTCGTTTTTGGCAATTTGTTTCTTGCTAGCAAATCTTTTATGTAGTTTAAACTTTAAGATTGTCTTGTCTTAATCACAGAACTGGGAACCCCTATCACATCAGCAGAAACAAGCAGCTTCAGCTGTAGAAGTATTTAGAATTATAGAGGAGGTATGCCCCTTAATTATTGATGTTATTCTTTTCTTTTGATAAATTATGACTTTGCCTTCCAGTCTCACTGAAGATTGGTGGAGGGAATATCATGAAAGACATATTGCATTACACCACTTGATGCATAGAAATTGCAATTTTGACTAGGCAGTAAAAGATTTTTTAGCAAAGATATATCATGGTGAAGCCACCAAGAGGAATAATGCATGCACATATAGTATATTATATTCTTTCTGCTGGTTGGGATAAAGAGTCTTCAATTATCAAGTTGTTTTTTTTTTTTTTTAAAATCTTGTTTAGCCAATAATGAACTTAATAGTAAAAAATGAAACATTGGATAAATTAACCCATTCATATTGACTTTTGTGTTAGATACGTTGTTTTTTATATAGTTTAGTTGCTCCGCATTTTAGCACACGCACGAATGCTAGTCTGTAACCTTCATGCATCTCTATCTTCAAGAGATTGCTAGGTCCGTGTGTTTGCTGAGTTTTTATATTTTTTATTATGCTTTATCATGTCCTTGCTGCTCTACTCTTATCTTTCAAGTTATTTAAGGTATATCCTGCTTTGTTAGTTGCTATACTGTTTATTTGCTTATTTTGTTTTGCTATTTTCTCTGGAAATCATCTCCTGAGTTGATTTGCAGACTGTTGATCAATTTTTTGAGCTGAGGCTTCCAGTGGATATCACGCACTTGCAGGCTTTGCTTTCCATAATATTTCACACGTTGGATGCCTACTTGCAAAAAGTGGTTAACCAGTTAGGTAGCGTGATTCTTGGAA